AGAGACATAGAGACAGAAAGCGAGAAATCACCCCCCAGGGGGGATGGTCACGCCGCAATCCCTTCTCCTCCATTCTCCTCTCGGGATCTTGGGCACGCACGCACATGCGCCCAGCGTGAGTTTTAAGCCACCCGGTCCGGGACGCGAACTGCTGTCGACTATGTGGGAGTCCAGCAACATAGCCACTATGCCAACCGTTGGTCCCAAAAAAACAATTTCTTTGAGAGGTTTTTGCTATAGGGCACGTGCGCTCACCAGAAAGACAGAGAGACAGAAAGCGAGAAATAACCCCCTGGGGGGGGATGGCTACGCTGCAATCCATTCTCCATTCTCCTCTCAGGATCTTGGACACGCACGCGCATGTGCCCAGTGTGAGTTTAAGCCACCAGGTCTGGGATTCGAACTGTAGTCGACTACATGGGAGTCCAGCGTCATAACCACTATGCCTACTGCTGGTCCTAGCCTCTTTAATTTTAATATTTAAACAAAAAAATTTTAGAGGTTTTTGCCTTAGGGCATGTGCACTCACCAGAGAGAAAGTGAGAGGGAAAGTGAGAAATCACCCCGCAGAGGGTGGGGGGCTGGCCACACTGCAATCCCTTCTCTTCTATTCTCCTTCTAGGATCTTGGCACCCATGCACATCTGCCCGGTATGAGTGTCAAGCCACAGGTCTGGGACTTAAGCCATGACTGGCCCTGTGGAAGTCCAGCAATACAACTGCTATGCCATTTGCTGGCTCCAATACCTAGTTTGATACTGTGGTGGTCTGAGAGCAGACACGGATGGTGTCTGGTCTTCCAAGGTGGTTCCGATGTTTGAGGCCCAGAATGGGGTCTGTCTTGGCAAATGTTCCGCGTGAGCGAAGGCAGGAAGGCTGTGTCTCTGCCCCGGGTCACACAGTCCGGAAACTCAGCCGCGTCTGTCCTGGAGTAGGTGGTGGAGATCCGTGTACCCGTCCTGGTCTCCCACCTCCTGGCTCTCCCTTCCTGGTGGAAGGTGTGCGGTCTGCACCGGGAGGAGTGGGGACTCTTCTCCCGGTTGTTGCTGTGTTCACGCATTCAGCATCACAGCAACCCCACGGAGTAGGTTCTCTTACTCCCCCTGATTTCCAGATGGGGAAACTGAGGCACAGAGCCCTGCGGTCATGGCCCCTGTGGCACTGACCGTGGGTGGCGGCGGAGGTGGGTTGGAATCCGTCTGGCCGCTGCCTCCCTGTGTGTATCCTGAGGGTGATGGGCGGCATGTGGAGCGTCCTGGGAACATCAGCCCTGAGTCCTGCCAGCAGTCTGTGGGACACGGGCTGTTCTGAGCCCCATTTTTTTTTTCTTTTTTTGGAGAAGTTTTTTCTTATTGGGCGCGTGCGCTCGCCAGAAAGACAGAGAGAGACAGAGAGATAGAAAGTGAGAAATCACCCCCCAGGGGGATGGCCACACCGCAGTCCCTTCTCCATTCTCCTCTCGGGATCTTGGGCACGCACGCACACACGCCTGGAGTGAGTTTTAAGCCACTGGGTCCAGGACTTGAACCACGGTTAACTACATGGGAGTCCAGCGACAAAGCCATTACGCTGACTGCTGGTCCCCTGAGCCCCATTTTTCAGATGGAGAAATTGAGGCACAGCAACTCAGAGACTAGCCCAAGGTTACACAGTGAGGAATAGAAGCAGCTGGGCCTTGACCTGCATCCGAACAGCCCCAAACCAGGCTGTTCACTGCGCGGTCCTTTACACGCAGCTCAGCTTCTGGCTTAAGACCACCCAGACCGCACTGCTGCAAAGCCATGTGGATCCTGTAATCGCGGCCTTGAAACCTCTGCACTACTCACCCGTGGCCTTTCCTCCAGCCTCGCTGGCCTTTCTGTCTCTCAAACATCCTCACTCTGTCCAATTCTTGGGCCTTTGTCCAGGCTGTGCCCTCTGCCTCGAATGTTCTTTCCCTTCTTGAAATGTCACCTCTTCCAGGAAGCCTTCCCAGCCCTCCCCTGGGCCCCCAAGTTGCTTCCTATTTATCATGGGATTTCTCAGTTCCGGCTCTGTGGTGTTTGGAGCAGTGTGGAGAGAGCGGGAACGTTCTGCCCAGCCTGTGGTTTTTGTCCATCCCGCTCTCGTGGATGCTCCAGGGCACCACGTGGCCAGTCCTTCACTCCCCTTGGTACCTGGCGCTTAGTAGGTGGTCACTGTGTGCTCATGGAACGTGTGTGTCAGGCACAGGGTGGGTGCTGGGGAGACGTCCCGTATTGGGGCTCGCTCTCGAGTCTGAGTCTCACACGCCCAATACCAGGGCTGTGTGGCGGGGGCTCCCCGAGGTCGTGGTGGCTACATTCTGTTCAGAGGCGCTTTAATAGTGCCTGTTACAGACAAGGGCCCAAGACTCAGGGAGGGCAGCGTCTCCTCTGGGCCGTGCAGTGATCAAGGGGCCAAGGCAGGATGGGCTGTCAGGGTGGACTTTTCCTTACCCCTCGAGGGTGATTTTGAAAAGGCAGTGATCAGCGTCAGGGCCCAGAGGGTCCTGCTGGAGAGACTCTCCCAGGTGACATGTCCCCCTTCTCTGTTCCCTACAGATCGTGAAGATCAGTCCATTCTCTGCACGTGAGTAATAAAGGACTTCCTGCGGGAAAAGGGGTCCAGGCTGGGCTTGGCGCTGGGCAGGGCAGGGGGCATTTCCTGACCTCTGACCTCATTGCCTAGCCCTTTGCTTTCCCCCATAGCGGAGAGTCTGGAGCTGGGAAGACGGAAAACACCAAGAAGGTCATCCAGTACCTCGCCCACGTGGCATCATCGCCGAAGGGCAGGAAGGAGCCGGGTGTCCCTGTAAGCAACCCAGTCTTGGGACCTTCCTGCAGACCCTCCCACCAGTAACCCCCCTCCATTTTGGGCTCTGCACCCCCATAATTGCCTGCTTCCTGTGAAGGGCAGGTATGGGGCTTCTGGCTGCCTGTGCCGCCTGAACACCTACTATGCACCCCATGGTAATGCCAAGGCAGGGCAGACAGAAGACACAGGGGCCAGTTCTTAGTCTTCCTGGCCCTCGGAGTGGCGGCTGGTACTCTGTAGGTGCTTCATTTTCAGAGCATCTACTGTGCATTGAGCCTGATTTTAGGTGACCCCCAATGCCGGGCATAGTGAGCGTTGTCACGGTAACTTCCATAGTGCTCCAGTGAGCTGGGCGCTGTTCCCCATGTTAAAGACCAGAGACTCCAGGCCCCAGGAGGGTGAGCAGTTGGTCACATACTCAGGTGCGGGGGGCCATTCCATGTTCCTCCAGCCCTTCTGACCCCTCCTACCACCAGAGACTGCTGGTTCACTTATATGTCTATCCATGTTCCATGTGCTGTGTCCTGGTCCATGTCTCGTGTCCTGTGACGTCCTCAGGCCTCCGCCAGCACCGTGTCTTATGTGAGTAGCAAGGAGTCACTTCGAGTTCTGCTGTGTCCTGGCCACCCCCACCTGTGGCCTTCCTGGTAGACAGGGCCCAGGCACCAATAGGCACACTTGCCATGTCTGCACTACTGGTTACGGTGGTCCTACTCTGTGCACACCAGGTCCCGTGCTGCCATTTGGTGCAGCCCTATCATGTGCACACACCAGGGCCCATGCTGTTGTTTAGCACAGTCCTACTGTGTGCACACACCCGGGACCCAGGCTGCTATTTAGTACAGTCCTACTGTGTGCACACACCAGGGCCCATGATGCCATTTAGCACAGTCCTACTGTGTGCACACACCAGGGCCTGTGCTGCCATTTAAGGCAGTCCTCCTGCACATATGCAGCCAGGGCCCTACTGTGTGTGTACAGACAAACCACGGATGCCAACCCAAAACAGCCCAGAGACCAAAAACACCACTTACTGCGCTGGATGCATAGCAAAGGCCTGCAGACACTGTCTTCACGCAGCTCTGGGAGCTGCCCGCTAAGCTGGGCAATGAACTCTAAGAGTTGGAGGAAAAATGGAATTAAAGCACAAGTTTATTCTGGTGTGAAAAAAACTACGTTGAAACCCAACGTAGTTTTTCACAGTACGCGTTTTCCGTAAGACCTCTCTTGCTGAGTTCTTGTGCCCAGCCACGAGCCCCTCACTTTGTGGGTATTTCATGTTCCACAGAGCTGCCCGCTAGCTGAGGGCATTTTGCCCTCACACAAGCAGGACACAGACTGGGAGGAGACGCACATGGCTCCCCTTGTTGAGCACCTACTGTGTGCTGCCTCTGACACGGAGGAACTGGGAGTTCAGAGCAAGGCTCCTACCCATAGAGCAGCCTACTGTGTGCCACACGGTCTGAAGCACTTTACGGAGCTGGTATAGCTTCTTTCTGCTTAAAAATTCTCCCAAGTAATACGCAAGGGCTCACTGTACCAGGAACAGACACTCAGAAGGCATGACCTGCCTCTGCCTCCGCCAGTGCCCTTCCTTGGAGCAGCTTAGGCTGTCGACAGCAAGGGGGCGCCCTTGCAGGCCTTTCTCGCACGTTTACAAGTATGTATGTATGTCTGTAGAAATAAGTCTTGCGTTCTGGTGTTTTTTCTTTAGTTTATTTTTAAGAGGTCAGATTGTAGGTATTATTCTTTTTGGGGGGTTTGTTTGGTTTGGATTGGTTCCCACTGGACATTATGTTCTGGGGACGTCTCCCTGTCCCCCTCCAGAGACTAGAATGCAGGGAGGTGGGCACACCCGCACACAAAGGCCCCTGCAGACATCCAGCCAGCTGGAGGCACAGCCCCACGCTGGGCACTCTGCCAGTTCTCACGGTGGTCTGTCTCCGCGCTCGGCAGGGGGAGCTGGAGCGGCAGCTCCTGCAGGCCAACCCCATCCTGGAGGCCTTCGGTAACGCCAAGACAGTAAAGAATGACAACTCCTCCCGATTTGTGAGTGCTGGGGGTAGGGCAGCTGCATCAGGGACTCGCCGTCAGGGACGCACCGGGCAGGGAGCCTGGGGTGTGTGGAGGGAGGAGGGCCCGGGAACTGGGTCCTTGGGTCTGAGAGAGGAGGGGCTGGGGACCAGGGTCTGAGGAAAGAAGCCCAAGGCACCTGGACCTTGGATTTCCCAGGAGTCCCTACTGGGGACTCCCAGTTGGGATTCAGATAGAGAGAAAGCTGAAGAGCAGCCCCAGCTCTGGGAGGGGTGAGTGTGCAATTTGGGGTGCTCCTCAGATCTGAGGGGGAGAGGTTCCCCAACTAAAGCACCCTCCTCACCCCCTATTTGCCCTCCCTCCCAGGGCAAATTCATCCGTATCAACTTCGACATTGCGGGCTATATCGTGGGCGCCAACATCGAGACCTGTATCCTCTCAGCTGTGATGGCTCTGCAGGTCTGGGGACCTCACCTCCCAGAGCATCTGCCCCATGGGGTGCCAGGTGCTTAGATGGAAGGGAGGAGGCTGGTCTCCCTTTGTTTTGATAACGGGGTGGTGGGCCGGAGATCCCTAAGACCACCAGGTTCAGTGACTCGCTGGGACTCGCAGGACTTGACCTGTAGGTTTATGACAGTGCAGGGACACAGCCAAGGGAGAGACACGTGGGGTGAAGTCCAGGGACACCAGGCTGAGTGTGCAGAGGTGTGACAGCATGCGTAGGGCGCTCTCCTTCCTGAAACCCTCAGAGACCCCTCGCCCAGGTGGTTTGCGTACTGCGTACCCAGATTGCAGACTCCCAGAGAGAATGCAGCTGACCAGCATCATCTGCAGGAGCAACCTAGGCCCAGTGAACCCTCTCACCAGTTAGGAGATGCTGGGGGCCCTCCCGAAACCCAGGGCCTTGGACGACAGCTGAGGGCTCCCCGCCCCGATGGACCTGTCCAAGCAGGGCGTCTCGGGCCCCTGTGGTCTTCCTCTTCTGCGTACGTTCATGCAGACCCTTAAAGGAATTAAAGCCATAAAACTCGCGTGTGTGCCTGTGCAGAAATTAGGGGAATGGGCCAAGATCCTTACCAACCTGAGTTCCAATCCCATCTTTGCCTCTTTGAGGCTGTGGGACCTTGGGCATGGGATTTGCTCCTCTCTGCCTCAGTTTCTTCCTCTGTAGAAGGAGAGGAACATATAACCTGCCCCGAGAGGCTAGGACTGTGCTGTCCATTGCTTAGCCTCAGCACCCCGCAGGGGAAACACTCAAGAAGAAGCCATTGTTATTAGCAGCCAAGAGTCCAAGTAAATTAGCAGTGAGCTTACCGAAGCTGGCGTTATCCGAGCTTACCAGTGCTCACGACCGATGTTGATGTTATCCGAGCTTACCAATGCTGATGTTACCCGTTATCCGAGCTTACCTTACCGAAGCTGAGAAGCTGACGTTATCCGAGCTTACCGAAGCTGACATTATCCAGAGCTGTTCACTGAGATGTTAACAGTTGCTAATAGTAAGCCATGTCCTGTCCGCAGGGGCATCTGCTAAGCACACCTCCCCGATCTAGGGGCAGGGTTTCTGGCATGACCACTTAGGATGTATGGAAGCAGGGACTGGGCTGCTGGCAGCTGGCTCAGTGGATTCTGCTGCTGCCTAAGAACAGCTCCTGCTCCCTGTGCTCTGCCCGTGACTCCCCCTTCTCTGGGTCCTTGTGCCCTTGGCCCCTGCCTTCTCATGGCCCCTGCACATCCAGCTCTTAGAGCTCTCCCTGCTCCATCGAGGCTGCCTATCCCTCATGACTCCTGCCTCCTCTCAGTGGTTCCTGCAGCCTCTTTATTTAAAATGGACTTCTCTCTTCTGTGGGCAAGAGAGAGACAGGCACCCTAGCAGGGTCCCCATGCCATTACGCAGCCCCAACTCCGACAGCACGGATCACAGGCAGGTGCGTGCCCGGCGTGTTCAGGGAGGTCTCTGGGCATGAACCGGGAGCCTTCCTGCATGGGCCAGCCTCACAGGGTTGCATGGTGGCTGTGCTCCTGTCTGGCCCCTGGCAGCCTCCTTGTATGTCAGTCTCTCCGCCCACTGCCAGCTGCCGCCTTCCTCCCACCTGTCTCCACATGCAGTGCGCTTCCCTGCTGGCCACAGCACTTGTGCCCAACTGGCTCAAGCCAACGGCCGGCGTGTGGGCTGATGTGCGCCGGCCGGGTGCCCAGCCCTGGGCCAGTCATGGGTCTCGGGATGGCCTACAGAGTGGGGACACTGGCCCGGTGGGCTGACCCCGACACCCTGTCGCCACGACCAGCTGTTCCCTAGCATTTACTGCGTGCCCGTCACCCTCCCATGCTGTCCCAGCTCCTCCTGGCTGCAGCCCCTGCTGAGCTTGTCCCCACTGAGCGGAGCTGCCTGAGACGCAGGCTGCCATTACCCGGCTGCACAGGTGCATTGCTTCCCCCCTTCCCCAGGGAGCCCGCATCTCCCCACCTCCCCTAGCAGGGCACACCCAGGGCTTCTGCGGGGTGGGCCTCAGGTCTGCAGCTGATCCTGGGCGAGACTACCCGGAGCAGGCTCTGCCTTCCGACTGCCCCGCCATGAGCATGCGGCTGCCTGGTGCTGTTTCCTGAGAGGCCCCGCGGCTTTGTAGGTGTAGACGGGCCCTGGGGCGCAGAGTGTGTGCGGTGGTAGCAGCAGGGGGGTGGGGCCTGATGGCCCTAATATCTGTGTGGGAAAACTGAGGCCAGGGGAGTCCTAATGCCTGGTAGCCTCACCTGTGCCTATGAGCCGGGCACTGCTCCAGGGCGCCGTGCATAGTTCACTTGCCCTCACAACTTCTCATCGAGGGCTGTTACTTCCAGGCTCCTCAAACGGATGAGGAAACTGAGGCATGAGTGCTCAGGAGATGTGCCCAGGTGTCTCTTCCAGTTGGTGGCAGTCACTCCCCTGGGCTGTAAATGACTGCTGCCTCAGAGGTCAGAGGGGGCAGCGTGAGGGGGGACCTCTCCCTTCCACTATGGCCCCTTGACTCGCCTTTGCCCAGACCTGCTGGAGAAGTCACGTGCCATCCGCCAGGCCAAGGATGAGTGCAGCTTCCACATCTTCTACCAGCTGCTCGGAGGCGCCGGAGAGCAGCTAAAAGGTCAGCGTCCAGTCCGCTCTGCCCTGCTGGGGACTGGGTGGGGGCCCTGGCCGCTGGGGCTGAGGACACGGCCCTGTAAGAGCAGAAGGCAGGGATGTGGGCACGCCCGCCCTCAGAGCTCCTGCACCGTCCTGGGCTCTGCCACTTCCTACTTCTGCCCCAGGGTGGGTCCCTGCTATTCCCCGGGCTCGCTCACGCTTGCTGTCCTGGCTGCATAGCTCCTGCCGCCTTCGTGGCCCTATGGCCCCTGCTCAGGCTCGCTTCTGACGCTCCATCCTGGCCGACTGCTCCTCCTCCGCTTCTTGTTCCAGTGGGGGTTAGCGGTGACTCCGGCGTGGCTGTGGCTCCTGGTCCTGTGACTCCCTTGCCTGGTGGCTCCTGCTGACCCTGGTGTGTGTTGCCCCTGGCTCCCCTAGCCCTGGCTCCTGTGGGCCATGACCCCTGCCTGGGGTCCCCGTCCTGCCCTCCTGCGGCTGAAGTGCCCCAGCTCTCGTGGACAGGCCCCTGCCCTGAGGCTCTCTCTCACTCTGGCTCCTGTCTCATAACTTGTGCCATCTTCTGGCCCCTGCTGCCGCGTGGCTCGTCACCACGTCCCCTCCCATTGTGGCTCCTGGAGCCACCTGTGCCCTGGTACTGTCTCCTGCTACCCATGGCCTCTGCTAACTCAGCTCTTGCAGCTTCATTGTGTCCTGCCCAACCTGCAGCTCCTGGCTGCCACAGGTCTTCCTGCCTCTGTGGAAGGAGCAACAGTTCGTGGGAAGTGCATGTTAGGAAAACTTTGCAACTTTGCATGCATTTAGACATGTTTTTGCAGCAAAATAGCCTTGTCTTTCAATCCCATTTTTTTTTTTTTGGAGAGGTTTTTCTCTATAGGGCGTGTGCGCTCGCCAGACAGACAGAGA